GTGTTTGTGTTATTATGTATGATGCCAATAAAATTGGCTTTTTAAACTTTGGATCGGCATTTTGCACGACCAATTTCCGGTAATATACTGTAGGGGTGTGTATGTATCACGAAATCAACAATTATTTGCAACAAGTTGACATATTTTATGCAAGAAATATGCAGTGGTACTCAAAATGTTAATAGACTTGCAAGAAAAATAGAACAATTAGAAACAAATTATTTCTAGAAAATGTACACGAATAAAAAATATCGACGTACAGTAATTCATCATTATATTATGGAAGGTTAGTTAGATTTCGATAATGCCAAAAAAAAATTATTTGAGTCAATGTCACTAAATTTGATTCTACATCAATTCGTAACTCTACATACTCTGGTGAAAAACACGATTATGTTTACATGTATTTTGTCCTCAAATCGATTGCTCTGTTGATTGTTATTGGAAATGCTACGGATGTGGAAATAGAATACTTGTAGTCGTGAAAACAATATCACTGATGCAAAATTCAAGTGCAACAGCTTAGTTCATACCGAAGGAAGACTAAATGACCATTTACCAAATGTTACTGCTACTCGGTGAAACTGAGGTAGGAAAATCTACATTTATAAACGCATTTTTGAATTATCTTAAATATGAAACATTGGAGGAAGCAAAACCCGGAAATTAATTCCATTAGAATAGGCAAAGATGATTCAAATAAAAGTTATGAATTTCATATCGATGGAAGTAAAATTCTAAGCTTGAGCGATCCGCCAGGAAGACAAACAATATTCTAGAATGTATTCTCCTCAAGCCAAATGATTCATGTCCAACTATTGTAAATTTGGTATTCAAAAATTCTCATAAAAGTACAAAGGATAATAATGTTGTATTCTGCTTCATCAATGCTCGAGGAACATTTTAGCGTCCGGACGATACTTTGTTTCCACTCAAAAGAGCTTCGTGATCGATTTGGTAATCAAATCCAGTTAATAATTCAATTGCAATTAATAATAAGTATAAAGAAACGGAGACAATATGCATTAACAAACTTTCAATATTGTCGTTTTTCTAGTGAAATAATGATGAAACCAAGGCTGATATTTCTGAAAAGATACAAGTATCCGAACGCCCAGCATTGCCCAAATTATACATGTACTACGTATATCGATATGTATAACGTAAAATGTAACATGACACCCGATCGTTTGTACATTTTATGCCCCAAATACAATAACCGATTCATTTTTTTGGCAATCAATTTCTAATGAAAAATTGATCGACAAATATGAATCTGTCACTTTAGGATGTCGACATCCAGTGAACCCGATTTGAGCGAAAATATCACCATTTGATTTGCCTGGATTAGATAAATCGAATGGCAGTATTTTCGCTCAAATCGGGTCGCTGGACGTCGAGATATTATGTCCTGGGGTGACCGATTTATTGTATTTGGGGCATGAAGCCGATATAAAAAAAGCTTTAACAATCTAGAAATGCACAAACGATGTTAACATTTTACACCCAGAAAATTTGGTGATCGTTATACATATCGATATAACGATAGTACATGTATAATTTGGGCAATGCCGGGCGTTCGGATACTTATGGCCGCTACTGTATGTACTGGACTTACGTATTTATAAAAAAAGTCGGTGTAATAAATTATATAAAATCACTATTTAAGAGGGAAGTGTTTACAAAGTATCAGGTCATATATTGATTACAATTTTAGAATGTATTATATTTCTATGTTAATTTTGTTAAATCGCAAACGTTAAGTTTTGCGTTCTTAATAATAATTAACATTTTTACATAAATTTGCGTGTTACGTGGTTTACTGAAGGGCCGCAGCACTTTAATTTAGTCACGTAGAATATTGCATATATATATTCTACATTCTTGCTTTGAATTATTCAGTTGTTATATAATTGCTAAAATAACAGGAAAATTCGAGAATTTGACTCAGCTGACAACCAGAAACTGCGCCGAATAATTATATGATGCACTTCGTTCTTGTATAACAATAATTACATGTATTTTTTTTTCAGTCCCATACAAATTTACTTTTTCGACATTATGTCTCGTAAAATAATGGTGATTGGTCGCTAAAATTCCGATCTAACGATTAATTTTAAAGTTTGGAGATTTTACATCTGAAGACATTTGATATTGCAGCTTTCTTGCATACTTTTTTTCCGATCTCGAGCTTAACTTAATATATTTTAGTGCCAAATTGTAAACATGTACTATTGCCAACACAAAACTGGATGAAATTGAATACAAACTCTCCTCAATATTTTGTACAAAAGTAAAATTCTTGTGCAAATCCAAGAACAATAGTTTGTTTTTAATTGATCTCATTGTACATTTCATTTCTGATCATTCATTTTACTACATGCAATTTCAGGAAAAAAAACAAACTGGCTGGTTTAAATCAACCAATTAAATGGAAAAACATGACATGCAAATTAAATTTGTACACTGCTTTTAATACACAAGTTACCAATAATAAATTCAATAATGAACAAGAAGCCCCGAAAACCCCACACATCAACCCCACACGTACAACATGACTATTTATAATACGGATATTAATATACTTCATCATAAATTTCGAACGAATAATCTAACCAAAGCCGTTCTTTATAAATATAAATCTTTGCTTGTATCATTTACTCTAGAAAAATCCATTCTAATAATTGTATTTACTTACGTACACATTTTCGTCAACATTATAATGCGATATCGATCATTGTTCCAACAAAATTATAAAGCTATCCTATTGAAATGTCAGGCTAGTGGTCAACATTTTCAAGATGAAAAGTTCCTGCCGAAAAATTCTTCGCTTTGGCGTGTACAAAAACCAGATATTGATGGTGAAATTGTGTGGATGCGTATTAAGGTTTTGTTTTCATTAAATTAACATGCAAACAAATGCCTTTAATCATGTTGAGTAAGTAACAAAACGGAATATATATTTTTTAAATTTACAGGATATATGCCAGACGCCACATTTATTCGTATATGAAAATGGACAAGCATATCCAGAAGTATTGCAAGGGTAAATCAATTTTCCTTCACGAATTCTCGTTTAACTTTATATGCCTACTACAAATTTCATTCTTACTTAAATTAGCATCGTTGGAAATTGCTGGCTCGTTTCTGCATTAACCATTTTAGCTGCTCATCCGACATTACTGCATAGAGTAATTCCGAGATGGAAACTCCAAGACTGGTCTCATTCAACCGATCCTGGAATTTTACATACCAAAACATTTTTAAGAGATAATGAAAATCACCCTGGTAATGTCTAAATCGTATTATCGTTATCGTTATCGATTGCCAAATAAATTCTAATTCTAAACTTGATACTATATAGGTATATTTCGATTCCGATTCTATCGATTCGGTCAATGGATCGAGGTCGTGGTTGACGACTATCTTCCAACAGTAAATGGAAAATTAATCTACGCGCATGCAAGAAACCCTAATGAATTTTGGTGTGCTCTAGTGGAAAAAGCTTATGCGAAACTTTGCGGATGTTATGAAGCTCTGGAATCCGGTTCCACCTCAGACGCAATAGTTGATTTCACAGGCACAGTACCTGAAACACTGGACCTTGAACGTGATGAAGGCGGAAAGATTAATGGATATACTGACATTGAATTATTAAAGTACTTAAACAAAGCAAGCAAAACAGACGCATTGATGAGTTGCTCGATTAATGTTCCAGAGGAACTACAGTTGGAAGGGAAGCTGACGAATGGATTGGTTCTTGGAGTGAGTCACTGCAAGTTTAATTTTCTGATTCAAATACATTTTACTGATTAGCATGCACTTGTAATATTATTAGCATGCATACGGAATAAAACAAATTTATAAATTAAAACATGGTTTACTATTAATGAAACTTCATAATCCATGGGGATCTGGAGAATGGAATGGTGCCTGGTCTGACGATTCACCAGAGTGGAAAAATGTCAACGAAGCGGAACGTAAAAAGCTCGCTCTGAAAGTTGCAGACGACGGTGATTTTTGGATGGTAATTAATGAATTTTATGAAAGTATAATAATAAGATATTCTTATTCAAAATTCTCATTATTTTTGTTGATATTTTAAGTCATACGAAGATTTTATTGCAAATTTTTCTTCATTGACCATTTGTCGCCATCTAAACGTATCATGGTATGTGCCTGGTCCAAAATGGGGTATCCGTATTTTCGAGGGACAATGGTCAAAAAAGGATAATACTGCGGGCGGATGCATAAATAATACTGATACATTCCATCAAAATCCACAATACGCGTTCTCACTAACAAAAACCACAACAATAATCGCTGCATTAATGCAACAAGATACACGTGATCATCGTCTCGATGGAGTTGAAAACCACACAATCGGATTTATTTGTTTGCGAGTTGAAGACAACCGTGTTACTCGCATACATAAACCTTTGTATGATGTAGTGAGTCAAGTGATATATAGTGATGCGAGAGAAGTAACTTCTAGCTTGACATTAAAATCAGGTCGATATGTTTTAATACCATCAACTTTTGATGCTGGTGAAGAAGGGGGTTTTCTATTGAGATTATTCTCCTCGAGTCAATTGAATGTGATTAGATTAACCGATGACGTACCTAAAAAGAAATGGTACACGGGAAAGAATTCAGATTTCGTTGGAATGGCGCGAGTAAAAATTATGGGTTTAAATTTAACACATGAACTTGGATCTGCAGATTTAAATACAACTTTACGTTTACTCGATACGAAAAATGGAAAACTTGTCAATGAATTTTCGGCGCAAGCACCAATTAATGATTTAATTGGACGTGAATACGTTTTCTACGTTTGTGACCCGCAAAATGCTAAATTTAAAATAGAGCTACTGGAAAAATCTATGGTGAAAAAAGGTACGCCAATCGGAGAAGTTTCCTTTGACATTTCGAAATTCACAGAAGAATCTAGAGAATCCAAATTTTTCGAATTGACAAAACGGGTCTTAAAAGTAATCAAAACGACAACGGTAACGGACGATAAGAGAAAGTCGGGTGAAAAAATCGTCAGTGCAGATTTGGGTGATTTGACGGTTCGAATTATGTATTGTAATGGATTGAATGGGTGATTGTATAATATTTTAATATCATGTATACACATATTAGTCAATTATTTATATTAGATATTCATTTTGAGCGTTATTCATTTTTGTATATATATATTGGGCATACATTCTTTATTATCTATGTATTTTTGTTATCATTGTAATTAGGTTCAAGTGAACTTACATAATTTTTCTATTTGCATAAACTTGTGAATGAATACAAGATCATTCTCATCAATTCAGAATTTTTCAACGAATATTCTTTCTATATCGATACTAACCGATTATAGTTATTACCGTTATAATGAATTTCGTGAATTTTTGCAATTTCCCGACAATATTAAATAAAGTGCAATGTTGAACGATTAACAATTCGTCTCTGCTCTTTCATACATGTATATAGTTTAATAATTATTTTATTATCCAAATCGGATTTAGTTAAAAGAATCCAGTATACAGTCAAACCTGGATATATATATATAACGAAGTGGTCGGCTATTAATAAAGATTCGATTTATCGATGCGGATTTACTATAACGGTTCCTGGAACAAACTTCGATTTATCCGGATTTAATTATATTCAAGCTCGTTATATCCAGGTTTGACTGTATCTAATAGTTTAAATTTTAAAAAATACAAGTTGATTTTTTAAATTTTTTTAATAGATAAAAATATTCCTTAATACATTAAGCCGGCGTAGCTTAGTGGTAGAGCGTCAGTCTTGTAAACTGAAGGTCGGTGGTTCAATCCCGCCCGTCGGCTTTAAAAAACATTATAATTTTTAGAATTCCTTAGCGTTAGGTTGGCATACAAAATACGTACTACCGCTACGTATAATACCTTGACGTTGACGTTAAATTTTGAAATTAATACATGAAAGTGAATTATCATTTTATGTGTTGGTTTCGAGTTTTCGTATAGTTTTGGAATTTTTTGACTGTTAATGATTTGCGATATACGTAACGATAACGATAAGCTAAATTTAAGTTTAACTTCATATCGATATCACATAAATAACGCAAATATGAATAAATATATACTATAAAATTATAAATATCCATCTCTTTAAATAATTGTTAGAAAGTTAGCGAGTAGTTAACTCGCACTGTTATCATTCCAATATCCGCATATACCCTATTTTTACTGCTAGTCTTTTTTTTATCTCGATTTCCTCCATGAATCAATTTAACAAATGGCTTACATTCTTCAAATATTTTACCCTCCCTTTCGTCTGCAGAAAAAGTCTGAATTTTAATTTCTACTTCACCTAAACATTGTTTTTTTCCTTTAACGTTTTCAAATAAGCGTAAATGTACTTTAGCATTCGAAGGATCTCGTACGTAGAATACAAACTCTTTTCCATTTAATGAACTTAAACTAGCTTTTATTTTTTGATTGGAATGTCGATTTCGCTTTCGATTGTTTACATCCGAAAATAAAGCTTCAAAGTGTCCGTGTTTTATGTCTCGTGTTAGGCGAATATCCATAATTTTTATACGTGACATTCCGACGAATTCCTTATTTTCTGGATAGATTAAAGAGTGGTAGAATTTTTGTTTAGGTGCATCCTCCTCAAGTAACTTCACATTCAAATATCTGTCGCTAAACAATCGCAATAAAAATTTTGATTCTTCACCAGCGTCATAAGTTGATGGAATCAAAATATATCGTCCTTCTTTTAAATTTAGCGTTGAAGTAATCTCCCGTGCATCGAGATAAGTGACGAAACTTACAAGATCATATGTTGGTTTATGAATTCGATAGACTCGATTTTCTTCGACTTTTAGACACACAAAACCAATTGTGAGATTTCCTTGAACTTCAGGGTGACGATTTCGTGTATCTTGTTGCATTAATGCAACGATGATTGTTATTGGTTTTGTTATTGAAAATGCGTATTGTGGGTTTTGATGAAATGTATCTTGATTGTTTATGCTTCCACCCGCCGTGTTATTTTTGACAGACCAAGAACCACGAAACATTTGATTGTGCCATCTTGAACATTGACGAGATATTGTAATATTTGAAAAGTTATCGATAAAGTCGTTAAATGACTACACAAAATATAAAATATTTGATTTATGTATTAATTATGCCGAAAATTATTTTGTGAATTTCATTAAACATACCATCCAAAAATATCCATCATCTTCTACTTTCAAATTGATTTTTTTACGTTCAGTCGGTGCTAAAGTTTTCCATTTAGGAGACGTGTCAGACCATGCGCCATTCCATTCTCCTGAACCCCATGGATTATGAAGTTGCAGAAGAAATAAACTATCTTTTCCGTTCGATTTACATTTGATTGTTTGCATTCGCGTTATCCCGTATGCATGCTATTTTGTCAAAATTTAAAGAACTTAATATATTGCGGAATAATGAAATAATAAATGCACATAGCATTATTGATAGTATACCCCAGGAATTAATCCGTTCCCTACCAAACTATCTTCAACATAAATAGAACAACTCATCAACGCATCGTTATTATGAGCATTTTGTAAAAATTTCATCAATTGCTCTTTATTCATGTTATTTATTAGTCCTTTTTCGTCCTTTTTGAATTCGAATGTTTCTGGCACAAAACCCGTTAAATCAACTAATGCGTCAGCTACTGAACCTGAATCTAGTGCTTCGTAGCATCCGCATAGTTTTGCATATGCTTTTTCAAGCAAAGAACACCAAATTTCATTTGGATTTCGGCCATGTGCGAAGATTAATTGTCCATTTATGGTTGGTAGGTAGTCGTCTATCACCACTTCAATCCATTGACCAAAATGGTAAAAACGGAATCGAAATATTCCTAGAAAAAAAGTAAAAAATCGACTTAATTATCAAAGCGCGCGCGTATAAAAACTGAGCGATGTCTAGTACCTGGATGATGCTCATTATCGTTAAAATATTGACATGTGTTGACGAATCCAGGATCAGAAGAATGAACCCAGTCTTGTAATTTCCAACGTGGAATCACTTTCTTTAAGAGTTTCGGGTGTGAGGCTAAAACAGTCAATGTTGAAACAAGCCAACAATTTCCTACAATGCTATAATTAATAATTAATAAAATTATTATATAAATTACGTGGAATATCAAAGGATGAATGAACATTTACCCCTGTACAACTTGCGGCTGTGCTTGACCATTTTCATAGACGAATAAATGAGGTTTTGGACATATATCCTATATATATATTTTTTTTAGCGGGTGATTTAGTGTTAATTTATCATAACATTAAATTCGTATAAAAAGTCCTCTACCTTAACACGTTTCCATTCAATTGTTCCTTGTATGTTAGGTTTATTGACGCGCCAAATAGATGAATCGTTAGGAGGAAATCGATCATCCCTAAAATTTTGGCCGGTGATGTGACATTTTAGAAGAAGACGTTTATAATGTTGGTCATAAAGTTTTGGATATCGATGAAGCCGCATTTTGTGAGAAGAATAATTTTATTATTTGATGTAAAATATAACGAGTTGAAAGTTTATATGTATGGTGTATAAAATATAAAGTCTTGCTACTCGATCTCCCATTTTTATAAATGCATGTCTTCTGTTGAAACAATATGTTACCATAAATAGAAACAGAAATTAGAGTTTTGTATGTAGTTGCGTCATATGTACGTCATGCCAACTTTTGTGTCCGACTTTGTATACACAGTCAACTTTCGATAGATACCGACGTGCAGATTCTATTGAATTTATATTATTTACAATAGGATCTGCGCATATCAAAAGTTGACTGTATTGTAGGATGATGGAAACAAAATTTTCTAAGGTCACAAAGCATGTTATCATAGTAATATTTTGTGGAATTATGTGCTAAAGGTGGCAGGCTGGGGGGCTACCCTGGTTAAAGTGCTATAAAAAATTATTTAAAAATATTTTTTTATAAGCAAGTGTGAAAAAAATTTTATAGAAATATATTTAAAGATATAGAAAATATATTTGTAATTTAAAAAAAATTTTTAGTTGATATTTATTGAATAAATAAATGCCAGTCAAAAAAAAGCTTAATTTTGATAAATTTCATAATAAAATATAGTAAAATATTATTTTTATTATAGTTTATTATGAAATTTATCAAAATTAAGCCTTTTTTTGACTGGCATTTATTCAATAAATATCAACTAAAAATTTTTTT